ATTTTGGTCAATGACATGAGACAAAGTATATGTGAACTGTTGTATGAAAAGTGAATTTACTCTGTAAATCTTCACCCAAATCCTAAAAAAAAAAAAAAAAAAAAAAGCAAAGGGAAAACCTGGTGACTCCAGGCCTCGCCCACATTCAAGAGATTCCACCCACAACCTGTTAATTACATGCCTATTACATTAGCCATTTACCACAGCAACATTTCATCCCCAGCCAGTGTCTGTTCTTAAAACACCTTATTAGGTTCTTTGCCTTGTGCAAATACTCAAGGTCTCCCCGTGGTTATGAGAAGAAGAGCAAAGTTCCTGACTGGTATTTGAGTACATTAATGGGTCAAGTCACATCTTCTGGCCCGACTGTTGTCCGTCACCCATCAGTGGACCACTGACCCAACACACCTGCATAGTTTTCCCTAGACTCATCTGACTAGAAAGCACTCCCCACTCAAGTCTTTCTTTCCAGGGCAGAATTTCCAAACAAAATATAGATGCCTAGTTGAGTCTGAATTTCAAATAAAAAACAAGTAATTTTTTAAGTGTTAAGTATGTCCCAAATATTGTATGGGACGTTACTGTTGATTGCTGTCATCTCAGCTCTGACTCGTGGCAGTCTTATGTAACAGAACAGAATGCTGGCTGGTCCTGCACCATCCTCAAACTCATCACTATGTTTGAGTCACTGCTGGGGCTATTGTGTCAGTTCATCTCATGAGGCTTTCCCTCATTTTCACTGACCCTCTACTTTACCAAGCATGGTGTCCTTCTCTAGTGATTGGTACTTTCTGTCTAAAGTGAGCCCCCAGCTGGGGTCTTAAAAGCTTGCAAATGGCCATCTAGATGCAACAATGGGTCTCTCCTCATCCGGAGCAAAGAAGAATGAAGAAAACCAAAGACACCTGGAAACAATTAGTCTAAGAGACCATTGGACCATGCAAACCTCAGCCTATATGACCATGAGACCAGAACTAGATGATGCCCAGCTACCACCCTCAACCACTTGGAAAGGGATCAGTGCAGGGGATCCTGGATAGAGCAGGAAAACAATGTGGAACAAACTCAAAGCCATAGAAAGATGAGGCTTACTGGTCTGATAGAGCCTGGGGAGACCCCTGAGACTATGGCCCCTAGTAAGCCTTCAGGTCTGGAATTGAACTCACTCCTATGGCTTACAGCCAAATAATAGGCATATAGGGTGAACAGGCATATAGGAGGTAGAAATACTCCTTAGAACAATCAATCAAGAAGATGAGAGAAGGGCAGTATGTGCACAGGGAAATTGCTCAAGGGGCAGAAAGACAGGGAAGAGGTAACTACAGGGAGGAAGAGGAAAAAGAACTGTTACATTGTGGGGAATTGCAGTCAGTGTCATGAAACAAAACGTGTATGAACTCTATATGCAAAATGAATTTGTTCTGTAAACTTTCACCCAAATCACAATGAAAACTTAAAAAATAAAATAATCGAGCCTAAGTCTCACCATCCTTGCTTATCTAAAGTTCCAATTTAACTGGGTGTCCTGTATTTTATTTGCTCAATCTGGCAATTCACTCCAGGGATGTTTTTTTGCCCTGCCATCCTGCACAGCCCACAGGATCTGGTTTCTGCCTGGCACCAGGATTCTGAGCACAAACAGGACCTTCCTCTTCATTAATACTCACTGCCTTTTGCACCCCTATCACAATCCTGTGAAGAACAGTAAAAGGTCTAATTTTACAGGTGAGGAAACTAAGGCTCACAGAGGTTATGTGACTTGGGCAAGGTCCATCCAGCAAGTGCCTGGTGGAGCTGGAATTGTGTCGTATCTGCCTGGTTGTTCCTAGTCCAGATGCTTAAACCATGGTAAGTACTCAAAAACAGGCCTTAGGAACAAAATAGTGCTTGATTATAAAGGGAAGTGTATTCATTTGGAAAACAATGAAAAGACATAAAGAAAAATATAGGTATCCCTCCTCACCCCACCTCTCAGGTAACATTCACGTACGTATTACTTCTTCCCATAATTTATCTGGGAAATTATATAACACACATACATACATACATACACACTTTTTTTTTTCACAAATAGAAACTTAAAGTTTGATTACTATTTGCCTTCACTTATAAGAAAGCAGTTCCCCTTGCCATTAAGTATTTTCAGAGACATCATTTTTAATGACTACATCATTTCCACAGTATGTCTGTACTCTAACTTAATTAAAAGTCAATCCTCTTAGGTCCTAGATAGAGTGAGTAAAAAATGTGGAACAACACTCAAAATCATTAGGGAAAAAAAAAAAAAAACAGGTTTACTGGTCTAATAGAGCCTGATGAGACCCCTGAGACTATGGCCCCTAGTAACTCTTCAGATCTGAACTGAACTCACTCCTGTGGCATCCAGCCAAATAATAGACAGGCATATAGGGTGAACGTTTATATCAGGTAGACACACTCCTTGAAGCAATCAGTCATGGGAAATCAGAAGGGCAGTGTTTGCACAGGGAGAGAGCTCAGAGGGCAGGAATGTATAGGAAAGGACACAGAGAAGAGGTAACTATGGGGAAGAAGTGGGAAGAGAGCTGTTATGTTGTGGGGAATTGCAGCCAATGTCATGAAACAAAATATATATGAACTGCTGTATGGAAGATGAATTTGCTTGGTAAACTTTCATCCAAATCACAATAGTTTTTTTTTTTTAAATCCCTGTGGGCAACTCTACTCGGTCCTATAGAGTTACTACGAGTCAGAATCGACTCGATGGCAGTGGGTTTTGGTATAGATCATCTATACTGAAGACACCTGGAACCCAGGGAGGAAGTGGGGAGAGTGCTGTTACATTGTGGGGATTGCAATCTACATCATGAAACAGAATGTGTACGAATTATTGATTGAAAACCAATTTTCTCTGTAAACTTTCACTCATCTTTCTTTCCTGACCCATCCTGCCTTCTGAGCTTTGCTTTTGGGTGAATGCTGTTCTTTTGGTCTCATATAGTTGATTGCTCTGAGGAGCACGTTCCTCACAAGCCTCACGGGTGCTATTGTCTGATGTTTGGCTGAAAGTTGAGCCATGGGGTAAGTTCAGTTCCAGGCTTCCTGGGTGACTAAGGGCCATACTCTTAGTGGTTCCACCAGTCTCTATCATACCAGTAAGCCTGGACTTTTTGTGTTTTGTAGTGTCCTTCGTTGTTTTAATGTTTAACAAGTCCTTCCCCATGTTGACATTTGATAAACATGTATCCATATTTTTTTCTCTCGGTTGCTTTCTGATAGTGATTCATTCTTATTGACCCTTGCCCACCCAAACTTACCTTCCTTTCCCACTTAGGCTGATGTCAGCCCCATATGACCTCCTGACTCTTCCCAGTCCCAGCGTCAGACTCACTTGCAGGAAAAGGGAGGTCTTCTTGGTCGGATCCCAGTGAAACTCCACGGTGTTGAGTTGTGAGGGCAACATTTGGGGCTCTATCACCCCCACAGACAATGGCACATCTGCAGTAACAGAATGGTAAAGAGGAAGGGGAGCTTAGTGCCCCCAACCTCCTGTACACAATGGCTTCCAAGCCAGAAAGCAGTCCCAAAAGAGTCCCTGGCCCTCCCTTCTCACCAATGTCCAGGATTCGGTCCCCAGGCCGGCTCCACCTCCACCCTTCCAGCTGCTGCTGTTCTGTGTACTGCAGGCGTCGGTCATGGAATACCACTCGTACTGTGCTCTGCAGGCACAGGAGGCCATAGCTCAGGGGTCAGAGAGCGCTGGGGCTTTTGGGTAGCAGTCTGGTGACATAGTGCCTAAGGCATTTGACTGCTAACCAGAACATAGGTGGTTCAAACCCACCAGCCACTCCTTCCTTGGAAGGAAGATTGGGCAATCTACTTCCCTAGAGATACCTCCTTGGAAACCCAAGGAGGGGCCACTATGAGTTGAATCAACTCAATGGCAGTGAGTTTGTTGTTGTTGCCTTTTTCCCATACCTGGGTTGGGCCAACCATCCCACCTTCTTCCCTACTCCCACCTCAGGGAGACATGATCTGTGTTTAGATGCCCATCTGCATCTCACAGGCTGTGACACTGGGGAAGGAACCTAGAGACCCTGAGATTCGGTTTCCACATGTATAAAATGGAGAGTTAATTCCTTCTCACCCTTAGTCACTCAATTCTTTTCTTTGCAGCATTTATGGCCATCTGTAATTGCATATAATTTGTATAATTTACACATTTGTCTCCAAGTAGAAAGCATGTTCCCTAAGAAAGAGACCTACATCTGTCTCTTCACTGCTGCATCCCTAGCTCATAGAACAGTTTCTGGCAAATATATGTATCTTTTGAGAGAAGGAATCATCTGAGTGAATAATGCTGTGTAAATATATTTCTAAATCTCAGTTCTGTCATTTCCTAGCTGTGTGTCCTTGAGAAAATACTTAAAATCTCTGTGCCTCAATTTCATCAATAAATCCTGCCAACCACTGAGCTGTTGTGAGGGTCAAATTCAGTGATGGACTAGAGAGAGTTCTACTTGACAATGACACCACAGTGATGACTTTGGCTACCTACCCAGAGAGACACCCACATTCAGCCTTTCCCAGTTCTGGGAAAGTGTACCTACTTTCAGCAGCCGGGAACACTGAGTGGCATCCCCCAGCTTGGGGTTGCAGAGCATCCGTACCTCGTAGGACTGGCCTGGGAAGAATTAGGGGAAAACATGACGCACCCCACTGAGAAGCAGAGATAGTGCCTACCATCCCTAGCCCACCCTGGGCCAGCCTCCAGAGTGTGCTGCCCCTCCCCCGCTTCCTCCCTGCCATAGGCCCAGTGTACCCTGGTTCAGGTAAGTAAGGGTCTCCTCCTGCTGCTTTACTGCCGGCGAGGTGGCTGCACAGAGCACGTACTGGAACTCGGAACAGTGCGGGTCTGCACTGGGGATGTTCGGCAGCTCTTCCTGCTTCAGGTAGGGCAGGGGGTCCCTGCAGGGGCAGGAAGGCACTGCAAGTCTTCTGCTCTGACCAGTCCATCCCCAAGGGATTTTGACCCTCCTTCCAGGGATCCCGCAGTTTCCTCTAACAGGAACCCTAGTCAGCCCCTCTAGCCTCTGGGAAGCCTCCCTGAAAATGTGAACCCTCACTGAAGGTGCGAACCCTAGATTTATAGCTAGTCTTCAAAACAACCACCATTAAGTTGCTTGCTAGCAGCCTAAGAATTTGCCTGGTGTCCAGTACACATGCAACAAAAATGTCCTGAGTGGGTGGGGGGTCAGGGTGTTAGGAGTATCCCAGGTACATTTGACCACTTTCCCACCACCAAAGACACCCAAGAACAGGAAGCCCATTCCCCTGGGCTTCAAACATGTGCCTTACCTATGCTCACCCCACCTGGAGACCATGGCCTTCCAGGGCCCAGCCCTTACCTGAGTAGGCTGCTGGGGGGTCCAGAGTATAGTTCCCCGGGATTGGGCCACAGGTGCTCTGGCTGATTGTGCCAAAACAGCATCCTGGAGAAGGAGCAGAGACTGAGTGTGATGGAGACCTTGGCACTTGGTTGGGCTGGACCCACTGGGCTGTCCACCTGGGGCCTCAGCTTTTATACACAGAGGCCCACTGGCTGGAGGGCGGGGCAAAGCCTGGGGCTTCTTATTGGCTGAGCACTCAGGAGCTCTAGAAAACTCAGCAACTGAAGGGACAGCCCAAGCTGGGGGTAATCAAGAGCCAGTACCCCCAGACGTCCCCACAAATCATTAGCTTGAAGGGGAGATGATGGTGAAACAAAACAAAATCACAGGGGTGGAGACCCACTCCCCCATCCACCCCCAAGAGGCACAGGGACACTCAGAGATATACTCAGGCTTCAAGAGTGGCCCCATATCCATGGGCCTCACAGAGTCCTGGGGACCCCTGGGATCAGGTCTCTCACATGATCCCCTAGGGAGAGCCTGTCCAGTCTAGGGGAAAGCACAAGCAGGCACACAGCATCATACGGACCCACAAAAGGCCTGTGCTCAGTACTGGCCTTCCCTACCCCCACTGCACATGTAAACACACACACACACAACAGCATGCACACGCACAAGCACACAAGTGCAGTGATGGCAGGTACCTATCCTTTCACCCAGGGTTGCCTGGCTGGGAGACTGGAGTTTACAGAACATAGTGGGCTTGTTGTGGAAACAACTCAGGGAGATGCAGGAGAAGCCAGGAGCTCCAGTGGGGCTAGTCTCTGCCCTTTCCCTGGCCTGGGCTGTGTTTATGGACAAATGGAGTCTGCCTGGGGGAGGGCTTCTTTCTCCATCAGCAGCACCTGTTGTCACTGTACATAGTCCCAGCCCTCTGTACCCACCCCACCCCCACTAGTGTGTTGGGTATAAACAGATCTAAGATACGCAAAAAGCAGAGACTGGGCTCTGAAAACTGTGGCCTGACCTAGGGTGACCCTGGCTATCTAGGCTTTGGGATCTGGGGCCCTACCTACGGGAGAGGGAAGACCAAAGAGGTTTTCCCTTCCCAGGGCTGGGCACCTCCATCTCTGGGTGTTAGGCCCTTGGTCCTTTACATACTTTCTCCTCCCATGAGGCCATACAACATGGAAAACCAAAGAACCCAAGCCAGTTGTTGTCACATTGATTCCAACTCATGGTGACCACATGTGCACGGAGTAGAACTGTGCTCCACAGGGTTCTCACGGCTGTAACCTTTTGGAAAGGGGAGAAAAAAAGAGTGGGGACAGTCCTTTCAGTGGAGGCTAAAGAAACCCAAGTTCCCAAGATGTCCAAGTCCCCAAGATACTCCACGATACACTGTCCTCAAGACAGAGGGAATGGGCCCAAAGTGGGGGTTGAGGCCAGAGGGTACCCACAGGCTCCTCCATGAGAGGGCAGAGCAGGATCCCAGGATGGGCAACAGAGAGGAAGGTTGCTGGAGGGGGTTGGGGGTTGGTCCTGGCCTGGTGGAGGCTTGTGCAGAGTGTGGAGGCAGAAAGGGAAGAAGCAGATGTGAGTGCCCTGTGAGGACACCACCAGGAGCTGGCATGGGGATTGTGACATCAACCCCAAGTCCAGAACCCAACACGTAAACCACTTACCCTCCATCTCCAGAGCTGCTGCTGCCTCCTCACTCACCCCGGAGTCTCTGGGCTTCTCTCGCAATCAGGTGTGGTTTGGCCCTCTCTCTAGGGAAAAAGCTAGGGTTGAGGCAGATGGAGCTAGGTCCAGGAGTGGCCCCCCACCCCAATCTTCCTCTGTACTCCCTGAGTCAGGCACAGAGCAGGCTCTGAGCAACCCTCACGTCCCAGCAAGGCCTCAGGAAAATTCTGGTCCAGCCCCCTACTCTACAGAAGACACTTAGGCCGTGGGAGAGTGTGAGGACTCCAAGAGTCAAGGGCATTACCCAGAGTCCAGCTCTTCACCTTTCTGAACCTGTTTCCTCATCTGTAAAGTAGGGGCAAGGCCTCCCTCCCACTCAATGTGACAATGAGGATTAAAGAAAATTCTGTGAAGTTGCATCTCACTCCAAGGTTTATTCCTTAGGAGCTCCCCTCGGGAGCTGGGGACACTTCAGAAGATCTCAGTGCCTCCTCCAGAGCCTAGTCATAGGGTCACAGACAAGACCTCCCCAGAACCAGAGACACTACATACAGGTCATTTCAAGGACAAATTTTTAAGGTGTGATTTTTTTTTTTTTTTTTAACTGAGACAAGACTCACATAAGATTGTTTTCAAGTCAACAATTCATGGCTTTTAGTGCCTAAGGCACTTGACTGCTAACCAGAAGGCTGGTGGTTCAAACCCACCAGCCACTCTTCAGAAGGAAGATGGGGCAATCTACT